CAGGCAGCATGTTATGCAGTCGTGATACTCCTGAGGCATTTGGTAAAAACAATATAATAAAATGATTTAAAAGGCTACTTCACTGAAAAATGAAAATGTCCTCATTAGCTACTCACCACTAGCGATGGAGGGGTGGGTGAAAGTGTTTGAGTCCACAAAACGCTTTTGCTGTTTCAGGGGGAAACAGCATTTCAGCCAAATCTAATACAACTGAAGTAAATGGTGACCACTTCTTCAAACGTAAAAAAAAAAGCCTCCTAGTGGCCTATTTAGTGTTTGGGTGTGGGGGTTCTCGGACACGTCAACACTGCAGTCAGCAGATATGGAGATGGCCACTGTTTGGATGATTGAAGTCATTAGAGTCCAATTTGCTATTAGAAGGAAAACTAACAAACCTTCCTCTCAGTTGAAGCTTCACATCAGCGTGTTTCTCTTCGTTTGATGTGTATACTGAAACTTTTTGAATTTGATTGAGCAAAACAAACCAACTGAAGGCAGCACTTTAAAAATCTTTAGAAAGTAATCTGGGATTATTTCACTACTTTCTGGTGCTTTTAGACTTAATTGTTAATAAAGACAACACCAACAAAATACAATCATTGTTGCAGCTGAGGTAAAGCTGAGACCTGCACCCTGCAGCTCAGCTTCCCTCCACAGCCATTTTGAAAAGCATTCCAGCTCTGCCTGCTACATTTGCATATTCAGATCTGATCACAATGTAACATAAACCTATGTTTATTTTTTCTCCCACGGTCCCTCTCTCTCTTTCTCTCATTGCAGGTATCTCTGACCCCAGAACTGCAGGAGAACAACTATTATTATTATTATTACAACAACACTTATTAGTAATTATTTACTATATGAATTGTTGCTGCTATCAATAATAATCAATAACTTCTTCACACTGATATTGTTCATTATAACTTAACTAGTCAGAGCTACCTGTGTTCCCGGTCTCTCTCGCCTATCTCTCTCCCCCTCCTCCCCCTCCCCACTATCTCTCTCTCTCTTCTCTCCCCTCTTTTCCACCAATCTCTCCTCTCCTCCCCATTTTTCTTTGCTCACCCCAACCAGTCGGGGCAGATAAACGCTCACAGTGAGTCTGGTTCTAGAGGTTTCTCCCTGTTTATCTCCACAGTTGCCAAAGTGCTGCTCATTGTGGGAACTGTTGGGATTCTCTATATTAAATAAGATTTTAAGGTCTTGAATTAAAGTGCCTTGAGATGATGTATATTATGATTTGGCTCAATACAAATTTAATGGAATGCCCACTCATAATGTTACAGTGAAGGTGCTTGGTGTTTAAAGGGAAAACTTGCTACTTTTTCCATATTGGCACTTAGAATTTGCTCCTATTAAATATCAATTAAAAAAAATCATTAATAGGTGACAAAGAACTTAATTTTAAAACGACTTACCTTATTGTTGTTCATGGTGATCCCTACTGTCTGTATGTCAAGTTTCAAAAGATTTAACTGTAGCAATTTTGACAAAATTAAAGGGAAAGTCAGTACAGTTTTCAATATGGCATTCATAACTTACTCACAATAGATATTGGGACAAAGTTCTTTAATTTTCTTTCAATTTCTACAGTTAAATCACCATTAACAAGAGAGAGGTGACAATTCTTTGTCACCTCTTAAGTATTCTTTATTATGAGCCACTTCTACAGTAAAACCACTTGAAACTTGACAGACAGCTGACGTCACAATAAACAACACCAGGGTAAGTAGTTTGTAAATGAAGTTCTTTGTGACAAGGATTTTCAAAATAATACCTTAAGAGCAAGTTAATAGTTAAAAATGAAATAATATTTAATAAGAGCAACTTGAGTGCCATAATGAAAATCTAACATACATTCCCTTTAATTTTCTCAAACTTTCTATGGTAAAATCTAGAATCGTTAGAATCACTTCCTGTCATGCAATTTGTCAACAGAGTTGAAGCATTATGTTTATTTTGTTGCTGCCATTCTTTATGGAAAGCCAAATTACAGAGCGTTTATACTGAAAAGTTGTGAACTTGGGTTAAGATAATGTCGATGATTAACAGAGCCAACGTGCAATGTATGAAAAATATACACCAGTTCATTAAAACATTCAAAAACATTTTCACATTAATAAAGTAAATTCTGTTTCATTTTATAAAATACATAGACTTAAAAATCCTCACTGCAGATAAACCGGTAGGATGAGCACAAAGTTTATAAAAAGCTTTGCACACAACGTCCAGCACACAAACAGTAAAAAGTGACAGTATATTGTAGAACTGTTTGAGTAGGACAGACTTAAAGGGTAAGTTTAGAACAGGAACTGCAGTTAACCAGCAAGAATTCAGAAGTGACTGCACTGCTGTGATGAAATCCTTCTAATCTCCTCTGATGAATTCCAATCTGAGGTCACTGTACAAATAATATATCCAGACTCAAATGATATATTAATATGGTGCAAATGAGAAACAGTATAAAACCTGAGAAATAATGAATTTGCTAAAGAACAACTGAATAACTGCATGAATTTACAAAGTGACACACAATTGAGACCATTTGACCTCTCCCTCTCGTCCACTCTCCTGTAGTATCTCCACCAACCTGACAGCCACGTGGGTGTCATTTAATCTTCTTCTTGTCCCAGTCTGTTTCTGCAGACTTCCTGCCCACTCGCTCTCCTTCGCCTCCCTTTCAGCCCCTCGCTGATCATTAACCTCAGTCCTTGTCGCACGCCCACGCTGCTTGTTCTGATTGCGGATGACGCTACGTCTGCTGCCAGGCCCTTTACACGGTGTCCTGAGGGGAGAAATGGATGATGGGTTCATTGGAGGCAGTTAAAATGAGGTGGGGGCTAACGAACGGCAAAGAGTTCCAACTGTGAAACACACACTTCATGAGCTACATTTAATAGAAAGAAAGAAAGAAAGAAAGAAAGAAAAAGAAAAAAGAAAGAAATCTTCATAGTGGTACAAGGGGGAAAATAAATTCTTAGAAAAGTGCACTTGAACAAAAAGCTCTGCTCTTTTTTAAAGAGTTCTATCATGTTGCAGGCCTTTGTTTTAAACACACACACACACACACACAGAAAGTACATTGTGTTGTTGTCAAGGCGTTCCCTGCTTCCTGTCCTGCTGGACCGGCAGGGTTTGGTTGACCAGAAGGCCTCCTGTCTGCTTTAACCTCATTTCTATAACAGATCAGTTCATTCATTCAATTAGCAAACACACGCACGCACTCGCACGTGCACGCCTAGCGGATCCGAAATCTATGGCCTCACAATCCAATTGTTGAAAAGTAAACTGATTCCCAATAGTCCTGGCGATCAGGCTCTCTGTATCACTCCATCAATGGAAACCGTTTGATCCATAGAAGGATTCCCTGTCTTCTGAAAGGATGCACCAGGAAGAGGTAAAGTCAAATCAATAATTTTTAAAATGACAATCGGTGGGGAGGGGATGGAGGAAAGGGTAGAAGGGTGGAAAAAGTTCTGAGCTGATGGGAAAACTGTTGCGAGGCACAAACAGACAAGGATCTTTCACAGAGACAGAGGATGGAGACACAGTGTTGCACATGGATATTCAGTCAGCGCTGGGTGCTGCAGTGGAGGTCTGTCATTCAGTCCGTCAGCCACACACCGATATATTTAAGGTTGTCAGAGCGGGACAGCTGGCACTCAGCACCGCATCAGCCTCAGTGTAGCAACAAGATGTTCACAGCAGATTCACAGAACAAGTTAATAACACTGATGGTTAAAAGCTTTTTGACCAAGCTTAGAAAAAGTAATCTAATCTTAAAACACTCTTTATCTCAAAACTACTGAACACACTGTTCGGCTCTGCACACATTTATGATATTAACCTCACTTTATTGCAAGTTGAGTCTTACTATTGTAGGTTTGTTCATCATCTTAGAGGTAAAAAAAAGAAGTAGCTAAAAAGTTAGGAATTCAGCACAATGAGCGAGAGACCGAAAACACTTGTACACAAACTCCAGGATTAAATCTGTGGATCTGGGACAGTAAATGAAGACTAACTGTGACATTACTGCCAAAACGTTTTTTTGTAAACATCCATCTCAGTTTGCAAACCCACATTGTTCATCAACGTTGATACTTTGTTCTATTTTTGTTTAGGATTTCTCCGGCTCAGTGACTTTTATTCTTCTCTACACATTAAACTACACATTTCTGACAGGACAAGACGCAATAGGTTTCCCAGACTTAGTTCTCTTTAGATTGACGTCTGCCTCAGAGCTGAGGAGAAAGACTGAAATGCAGTCGTTATTGTTATTTACAACCATTTTGAGTGAAGTGTAAAAGAAGATGCAACATATGTGTCGATGACAATGCTCCATCAAGACCCAAGTTGTAGTAAAGCAGAATGAACAACACTATGAACTGTGATGTTGCAGCTGCAGGACTTTGAGGAATGTGAAGTGACCGAGGCAGACTGGCTCTGTGGCAGCAGGGCTGTGTGTATTAGTGGAGTCCCAGTGATAGGACTGACCATGGCACCACTGTACAGTACATTGGTTTATGTTGTGCCTGCGTTATTTGTGGGAGCATGTTGCAGGGGGGAGGTCTGGGAGCAGCAGGCCTCCTCACAGCCCCTCTTTTATTCTCTGCCTCTCTCTTTGCTCTGACAGATCCGTGCTGATATCAGATTGATGGGCCGATTTGATTGAAGTCTCTTTGTCGCGCTAATGTCACGGCGAGTGATGGATGAGGCGCGTGCGCCAATACAAACGCGAGTGCGCGCGCAAACTCCGCTCTCCTGAATCGAAAGGTTTCCAGCCTCCTGTGTCCTTCAATCACACACACACACACACACACACACACACACACACACACACACACACACACACACACCGGCTGACAACTTTTGGCCTACGGTCACCACAGCGGACTCACATCGAGCCACGTGACGCGCGACAGAGGTACGAGGAGAAGAGAGGAAGAGGAGGAGATTGACGGAGAAGAAAGGAGAGCACAGACTCTTTGGGTTGAGGAAGACAGAATGGAGGGACACAGTGTGTAACCTGTGTGGAGGTGAAGAGGTAACTTGACTCTCCCCTGTCCTCTCGCGTTATTTTCCGCTGTCACCGACGAGCCGTTGGAGACGCAGTGTGAGTTGAGCTGATGACAGGCCTTCCATCACAGCGGAGCTGTTAGTGCAGCCGCCACTTTCATTTCCTCCACACGGGAACTTTCGGCTCTTTCTTTTTTTTTTTTACTTCTTTCATTTTGCTGAAATTTTTCATTTCCCCCTCACCCTGCCTTATTTTCTTCTGGGGTTAGTTTGAGATGTTTCCATGATTTACTTCCGTTCTGCCGTATGACTCCACACTCTACTATTTATTCTATTTTACATCAGTGACTCAATTTACAGTTTTTGGATGGAGCTTTTCGATTTTTGATGTTTTTCTTACACACTTCTACAAACGTGCTCTCTGGATTCCTGCTCCTCTGACTTCTCTCAGTCCCACCGTGCCTCAGTCTGCATGGACAACATGAACTCGTTTGTGGAATACTCCTTCTGTAACAGACCGGGCCCGAGCGCCTATTCTGCGCCCAAACCTGCGCACCACCACCACCACCACCATTTGCATCACCTTCACCATCCTCTGGACCAGACTCAGAGCTTTCCGGTGACCTCCGGCGCCTTCCACGCGGGCCCCGCCGCCTCCTCATCTGCGGTTAATGGGACGAGAGGTGACAGCACGAGTTACACCGGGGATGGACGGCTGTATGAAGGAGTCCATGCGGCCACAGGGTCGACCCAGCATCAGCATCATCACCATGAACAGCATCAGCAGACGCACAGCGGCTACCATCATCACCTGCACCAAACTCAAAGCCTGCAGAGCGGAATACTGCATCCCTATAATAACGGGAATAACGCCAACACCGGGGCCTACGCGGGTCAGGCGTGTGCCACAAACTCGGAGTACATTTCCGCGCCGGGCCCTGCTAACACCGCTCACCCTCAGTATTTCATGGAGGAGTCTGTGGCCTCCACCTACTATCATCAATCAAACTTCCCAAGCTCGGCCTCCACTGTCGGCCCCAGCTACGGGGCCCTGGCAGGGGCCTACTGCGGGCCTCAGGGCGCTCTGGCGGGGCCACAGTTCCCGCAGCAGCTCGGCGGGGGTCTGGATGCAGCCAGCTACATGGGGCTTCCCCACGGGGGAGGTTACGGGGAGCTGCCGGTCTCTCAGGACCGAGACAGGGGGGATGAGGAGGGCCAGCAGGCCGGGCAGGGACAGACCTTCGACTGGATGAAGGTGAAGAGGAACCCGCCTAAGACAGGTAGGAGAGGCCCGGTGTTTCTCTGCAGGTTATAATAAAATCATCATCATAGAGCATGTTCGATCACTCATTTAAAACCATGTGTGAGGTTTCCAGCAGAAGAGGATGTGACCTCTTATACATTTATCATCGTGGCTGACATGGCATTGTTTTTTAGGAAGGGCCGAGTGTTTATGAATAGATGAGACGAAGAAAGAAAAGTGCAGCCTATATTCAGCAACACAGCAGGAAACTGAAAACTATAAAGAACAGTTTTATTAAAAAGCTACATGATCGATGCTTTATTTTTCTTGCAGTCCTTTGTTGTTAAATGTCTTGTTTTTTCAATTTCATACGGATCTTTTTCTTCTTTCCATGTGTCCTAATAAATCCATAAAGTATTAACACGTGTTACTGTAAACAAAACCAACACACACACACATTTGTGTCATTAAAATGTTATATATTTTAATTATAATGACAGTATATAACATATTTTTTCAACTGTAAAGAAGAGGGGGAAAAGACATAGGCCTATAATTCTTTTAAAATCACATGTCCTCCAAACAAATCGCCATCAGGTAAAAAATGGTTTCATTAGGACATAGTTTTAACGAAAATACAATTTTAAATAACTTTAAATAACTAAATAGGTATACGATTTAAAATTACATTTTCAACTCAAGTGCAGGTTACACTGACGCCTGGAGGATAAATAGTTATAGTTGCTGTTTCATAAGGTAAAAATCTACTTTTATAGAGATAACATAAAGGCTTATGGCTCAGTGCTGTGAGCAGGTCTACCTCACTCAACAATATGATCCCTGATATGTTTTATTTTTCCACCTCTCTCTCTCTCTCTCTCTTTGTGTCTGTCTCTCTTTTTTTAAATGGATATAACAGACGGGTTATTTTGCCCTGGGAAGTCTGTCCTGGTCTGTTATCTTTTAAACCCCCCTCCCCACACACTCACACACACACACACACACACTCGCTCGCTCTCTCTCTCTCTCTCTCTCTCACACACACACACACACACACACAAAAACTCTCTCTCTCTCTCTCTCTTTTTCCCTCTTGCCCATTGTGTGACGTGTTGGTCTGCAGACAGTATAGAGCAGATAACGCAATACATGTTGTTCCAGGTTGGTTTTAGCGCTAAAGGCACCAAACTGTTCAATTAAAATTAAGCGGCCACACAGCAAACACAAAGCAAGAGCAATCAATCAAATCTTTTTTATTCGTGTAGTCCATATATTCACAAATTTCCCTCGTAGGGCTCAACAAGGGGCGACGTCCTTTGTCCTTAACTCTCACCAAGAGACTCCAAAAAGAAAAAAATCTGAAACCCCTCACAAAAACCTCACATGTGAGGGGTCCCTCTCCCAGGAAGGACAAGAGTGCGATAGATGTCCCATGTATATGAGAACATTAGCGAGGTGTATCAATGTCTAAAGTATGTGTAGAAATAGAAAATATCTGGAAGCTGCAATGATAATTATATTGATGGAAGTTTAACCAGCAATGGTAAAATAAGGTATTTTAGTAATCTACATTTAATTATAACCCATAAGAAAGAGACTTTTACTGAAGGGACGGTCTATTTCCTGCAGGACAGTAATGTTGAGATGTGTGATATAGAACCGTGTCAAAACGAGCCCACGTGTTTGGACACACATGTGTATTAACACATGTATCATTTATTTGTCACTTGTACAACCAGACGCACATTAATAACACTGTCTCCTCTCTTCCTCCCTCTCTCTTAGTTAAAGTTGCAGACTTCGGCCTCGCGGGCGCGCACAACAACGCCATGCGCACCAACTTCAGCACGCGCCAGCTGACCGAGCTGGAGAAGGAGTTCCACTTCAGCAAGTACCTGACGCGCGCACGCCGCGTGGAGATCGCGGCCACGCTGGAGCTGAACGAGACGCAGGTGAAGATCTGGTTCCAGAACCGGCGCATGAAGCAGAAGAAGCGCGAACGGGAGGGCGCGTCCGCCACGACCCACTCCGCCTCCGGTACCGGCGGAGGCTTCATCAAGGACCTGGAGGACACCGACCAGTCCTCCGCGTCAACCTCTCCAGGCGCGTCCCCGAGCCCGGAGACGTAGTCAGAGACTATTGTGACTGGTGACCTATATACAGCCTTATTCTACTGAGCGACCCACTGTCTAATACATGGGTTCTAATATGAGAGGAGTAATAATCAGCGTCCATCTTCCACTTGAGCTTTAGTTAATGTCCCACAATTCATTTTGAAGTATGGACTTCTTCACCTGGACTTTTTATAAGACTAAGTTTTACATATAGGTAGAGAGAAGCTGTGTCCTGTTATCTCATCTCTTGATCAAACATCTCCTTCTGGACTATTGCTGAACATGCACACAATTAAATGTGACCTTTAACCAACACAAGTGAAAGTATGCTCCATGCAGGTGATGCTAAATAACTATAACCAACTCCTCTGAAGGTCTTGACCTGTTGAAGGTTCTATGCTGTTTATCCTGAACCAAACTCTGAGATCACTGCGTGTTGGGATTGACACACCTTTTATATTCCAGTTTTATTCCTAAATTGGGATTTCAGGAGCTATTTTAAGAGGAAAATGACGAAATAGGCTCCAGATACTGGTGTACAGATGGATCCCCCTGATGATATAAGATGCACTTTGGCATGTCTGAATTAAGGAGTTAACCTGCTGGTATTAGGGTTTTAATGTGGATAGCACGTTAGCTTGTTTTTAGTTGAGTTTTTCATTCAACCATTCATTTAAACATGAATTTCCCAGCAACATGGACTCTATGGTTATAAATACAGGGAGCCTCTGATGGCAAAAAATATATACGTTTGTTTTCTATCTGGTTGTTCTGCAATTGTTTTCTAAAGAACGTTTATGAATATTATTATATATTTTTTATTTTTGAATGTTTCAAGTGTTCTGTGTGTATGTTTCAGTCCGCACAGCTATGGCCTTTGCACTATGTGACTACAGGGTAACATTTCGGATGGAGACAGGATGGTCAGGGTGTTCGGTGTGACACATGAATAAGCTCAATGGAATTCTCTGTTTCCTTTAGTTTCTACGAATGATGACACAAGGCTGCGATGCCTTCACAGACACTCAGGGCTTTATTTGGGATGTGTGTAAGTGTGTGTGATTGTGTGGAAGGGGTTGAGGGGTCCATGATTAAATAAAACTACTGACAAGGCCCATCAGATACAAATGTCTCCTTGCTGAGGAGGAAACATGGGCAGTTTTTACCACTTGTTCTTTCTCCCATGAGAGTAAATTATTGGATCCATTGTATGTTATTGATTGTAGAATATGGGAAACAGTGTGGATATGAATGGGGTTTTTCCCCTGGGGTAATTTTGTCTTGTTACTACTGAGGGCCATGATACTTTAAACCAGACAAAGTCTCAATATAGGGATGTTTTTACTACTCCTAAACCGAGTCTGACTTCTGCAAATCCAACAAAAGTAAGTGCAGTTAACAGAAGTGTCAGAACACTTTATTTCAGAGGCAAAGAGAAGTGAATGAAATGTTACCTTCCTCAGGATACATTTTATAAACATCATTTAGGAGCACATTTCTTCATATGTGTAATATTGTCAGGTGAAATGTTGGCGTGTACGTTGTGAACTGCTGTGACTGGTTTCTCTTTTACTGACTGTTGTTTTTAAAGGAGAGCACACTGACTGAATGTTACTCGTTCTGCTGCCTTAGAAACTCCCAATCATGAAGTCTGTCTGTGTTTTTATACTGCGAGCTACCTCAAGTAAAGATTCTTCTGTCAATCCTGCTCAGATGTCTTGTTTTTTTTTCTATTCAAACTGACCATCACCTGTTTACTATTTTATCTGTTTCGCATGTGAATAACTCAAGAGACAGAGCATGCTTAAATGTGTTTTTGAGTTTTAATTAAATTATTTGACTGCTCTTTGATGAAATACACAAATGCTGGTTTTAAGATCACAGTAATGACCAAATCGGTGAAAAATCTAGGGGTTGAATACGACTCATAACCGGTCGCTAACAGCAACCGCTCCTGAGATCTGAAAGGCTGCACCAATTTTCAATTATGAAACGAAACCACTAAAGCACCATATCATCTACAATTCAGAGACGTGACTCGGGTTGGGACCTTGGAGGTCAGAAAACTCCAGAAGCAAGAAGCTATACTACGTATAACAACTCTGTAGAAATATGTGTGTGCTGAAGTCGTAGCTCATAGCTCTACGATGTAGATAACATAGCTCTGGCAAGTTAAATAGTGTCTGGTTTATGTGTGTTGGGTTGCGGTGGTGTGGGGCCTCCCAGCACTGTGATTTCAAGGAATTTTTTGAATTTCCAGGGTGAGACACTCAAACTTGGGGGGGGGGGGGGGGGAAATACATCATACCATTATATGAAGGAAGTATGAAAAGTGTTCAGAATAACAACCACAGCTTGGATATCTGAGATACTGAGGGTTATGATTGTTGCAGTCAGGAAAGATTAGCAGCATTGCAAAATGTGGATCTGACCCCAAAAGCTGGTGTGTTAGATAATATGTGGTAATGTGATTCATTCAAAACTACAAACATGCACCGCTAGAGCTGCTTTGTTACCTGATATGGAGACCCTGTTGAGAAGGTGGGCCCAAGTTTAGGTTTGTGCCTGTAAATTAATTTGTGTATAATTTATAATATGCACAACTTTAGCCCTTCTGCTGAAAAGGCTGATCAGAGTAAAGGAACATCAGGAGATTAATGTGGTCGCAGCCATGTGAACAGAGGAGAGGGGGTTATGGAACATTTGCAGTGGGAATGTGCAGTACTGCTTTATTAAAAGTATTGAAGAAGTAATTTATATTCAGATTTTTACTGTCAACAAATCTCATGAAAAGAGCCAAATAGTGTTAAACCATGCTGGTGCTGGATGACATTTTCCACCATTGTTCAATCTAAATAGCATCCTGCTGTTAAAACACATATCCGAATTTGATTGACAGTAGTCAATTCTCTCTTTCTCTCTTCTCCTTCAACTATAATATAATTTAGATTACACAATACATTTTAGAGGTGTTTTGAAGGAATTTAATCTTCAGGAGGAGCCAGTGGGTTTAGGGTAGAGTGTCACACAAATGGTGGAGAAGTTGTACAAAGTCTTGACCTTCTTTCTCCAGAACCATGTTGCATGTTGAAAAAAAGAGGAAAAAGCTTGAATGGTGACACAGCACAGTACACAGGCTTTAGAGGAGGAGTGAAACCGTATCAAAGACTATGATGCAGAAATGTGCACCGCACTCCCTGAAGAGGTGGAGGCAGGAGATGAAAGTGAAAGAGAGAGAGAGGAAATGATCAAGGATCTGATTAAAGGAGCCGGTTTGTCTTTGTCTTTATGGATTACAGCAACACAATGTTTGACAGAAAACAACACACACAGAGCTTCATCCATTTCAATGGCAAGCTCTCTCACATTCACTCTGCTGCATGGCCTCTGGATGACCCTCCTCCACACACACACACACACACACACACACACACACACACACACATTCAAGCACAAATACAAACACACGCACACACACACAGGACTACAGTCAGGAATGTAGCGGGGCCTTGCGGGTGACTTGTTGACCTTTGGAGAGCCTCTGGGATATCTAAACATGAGAACACACTCCTCTTCCCCATCATCATCTTCATCTTCACTATCAAAATATGTGAAGATCAAAGATGTGAATTATAGAAAAAGGGGAAAATAGATATAAACACTTTATTTGTTGAAATCCTCTCCACGTCACGACAGCCATCAAGAAATAAAGTTGTCTTAAATAAACAGGTGACTTCACATGACTGTAATAAACACAATCATTTCATCGGGACCAAATGATTCTCTGGCTGTTTGTGACTAACTGACCTGTCCGCCTGACCAGTCCTCACAAGTCAGAGAGACATACAGCTGAAGCAGACCGCTAGTCAGAAGCTAGCAAGGTAGTTTGGGGTGTAGCTTTGACGAGAGGCCGGGGGCAGGGGCAGAAATGTTGTCTTTGAATGTTGTTCCTAAAACTATACTGTCCTGCATACTGGGAAAAAAAACAGAGGGCCTACAAAGTCTGCCAGTAAATGCTGTCAAACGCTTTCTACAGATGTACAGACCATCACATTCTAAAAATATCTATAATATCCAATAATATCGATTTATGGATTACAACCTTTATAATGATAATGTGTGATAATGATATTTTTTAACAAAAGTAATTTGCTTTATTTTTATGGAATTACTTTAAATCAGAACAACAATAACAAATCAGAAAACAGTAAAATAATACATGAACAGCAACTACATCTACGAATATAATGTTCACTCTGAATACACACACACACACACACACACACACACACACACACACATACACACACACACAATGGACTGGAAAATCAAGTGAGAAGATTAAAGATAAGATTAAATAAAAAAAATAAAAGAGAAAGTTGTGGTTGAGGCATGGACAAAAGGAAAGGAAGGAAACAAGGGGAAAATAGAGGAGGAGGACAGAGAGAAAGAGAGAG